CTGAGCACTGCTACAATGCTGTGTATTATTATCTAATTCTATGCAGAGTTAAAAGTGTCCATTCTGTTGGCAAATTGCTAATAGGACAGAAAATCCAGTGAAGCTACTAATTATAGTAATGGGGGGAAATTAAACTAAAATATTATAAACAAACAAGTAGTGGTGCTCTCAAAGTTAGGACAAGCCATCCAGTAAATAGCTAGCAGTCTCCTTGTCAATCCAAATGCTCCTTTGGTATAAAACCATTCATTTCAGTAAGGTTCCTACAAACTTGAATGCCTTAAAGCTCAGTTAAATAATACCCTAGAAAATATAAATGGCACTGCTAGAAAAATATCAGCCAAGGTCAAAAAACGAAAGTTTACTGTATCCGTGAATACTTCAAAGCACTTGCTCATTCTATAATCAAGTTTAATTTTAAAAATGGAGATTTGGCAATCATGATTTAGTTTTCTACTCCCTGGTTTGGGGTGGATTGTATGTATGTGTATGTATGTGAATGAGAGAAAGAGAAATAGAACAAAATTAGAAAAGGAAATGTTTTCAGACTGAATTTCAGAACAAGGAATGTTGAGGTTCACTTGTCACCATTTTCTCCCATTCCAGTTACTGATCTTTGTTCTCCCTTTATGACTTGACACAAACAGCATGTGCGCTATCAAATAGAGGCAGACTGAACCAATTTAAAATGTTGAGTATCTTCCAGCAATTTTAATGGTATAATTTCTATGCATGTTATGTCTTTTCATCTTTGACCTTGAAGTATTTAGAGCACCTTAAGCTATTATTTTAGGGCAATATATCGAGCCTCATTTATTGTGTTACACTTGCTCAAATAGTGATGTTTACTTTAGAAAAATATGTGTATAGGTTTAATAGCTAAAGAGTTTTGAGCTGGAATCAAGTTAGAAGGACTTCCTTGGATCTAGCCCTTTGGTTTAGTTGCAACTCACAAATTCCGGACACAAGGTTTACATAAGGGAGCAAATAGACAATGTAGCAAAATCCCAATGGACAGGGATGATTACTTAAAATTATACTAATATCAGTCCATTGGTCATGCTGGAATCCTTAAAATGTCCTGAAGATATCAGGCAGGAAAATACAGAAGAGTTTTCCTTACTAAAATTTTTTTGTAGCCTTCAGTTAATTCGTATTTTATGCAGCAATCAAGTTTACTTTAACTCAATACAATAAAAAGTTAATTTCCAAATGTTCGTGAAACAAGTCGTTCATATGTACCAGACAGAAGTTAACTGTAATTATCTGATACATGCCTATAGGATGTTTGGAAACACACATCTGCTTTTTACAACGTTTCTTACCTCAGTAAAGTTAGTAACTATAATGTGGATTTGGAAAGGGGAAAAGAACTGGGAAAGGGGAGTGCCCCAAAGAAGATTTTAGCTTAATTCCAAACCAAATATATGATACCCCAAACTGGCCAGAACAGGGGGGACTGTGGAATGTATACATGCACTGCTGTCGTTCTTCCCCCTAAACATTGGCAGCAGAGAAAAGAATGGCCAGGAGTGGGTCTTCAGCTTAGGGCCTTGTTATTGCCAACGGCCTGCCTTGTTGTTGAGGGAAATTAGCTATGCCAGAGGGGTACAAGAATCGCGCACCACTTGTATACCAAGGTCCGGTACAGTAGGAAGACTCCAAATTTGAAGAGTAAATTAAATAGTTTTTATTAAATTTCCCTAATTACAAGCACATTAAGCATTCAAAAAGAGCAAGTAATACAGAACTAAGAAAGTAGAAGTGATTGATAGTGAATAGAGGGTTCAGTTATGGGGTAATACAACAGATGTTCAGGGGTCCATGGAGATGAGATTATGGCCTAAACTGCCAGTTGGCATCAGGGGCAGACACACAAAATCCGAGGCCATGTGCTCTGACAGATATAAACATTGGAAAACAATGCAGACCAATGGGATGCCTTGGGGGCTGTTCTTGGGTAAGAACAATAGATTTTCTAGACCAATAAGGAGTCCGTGGAGGTGTGGTAACAGGCAGAGTGTAATTCAGGTGTGACCAATGAGCTTTTATAGAGGCAGAATCTGGATCCACAATAGCATAGCCAGGTGCTGGATGGTTGGGCTGGGAGTGTCCATTGTGGAACAATAGAGTGGTCTGGTGTTTCCCTGTTGCCAGACAAAAGAGGTGATGTTTCTTAATGTGCAGCAGGATAAACCTGAATGGGAGACCATTCACTAGACATGGAGATTTAATGTTTACCTTGATAGGTCTGACATAGGTGTAAGAATGCAGACACCTTAGACAAATAGATGGAGACAGGAATGAGATGATTATTCCAAAGATATTTCCTGACATATACGTGAAACAGGAGATGGGGGAGGGAAACATGCAACATAATTCATGACAATAGCACAGACCAGAGGCTTTTTGTCCCTGCCTGTCAGTACATTTGACAGACAAAAGACTAGCCATTTGGTCAGTAGAAGATGCCTGAGGTAAGAGCAGAGACTTGCCCAGTCTAGTCCTTTTGGATTGAGCTGACAGGAGAGAAGGGGGGGGGTTGCTTGCATGGAGGAGGTTTGGCCTGGTGAGCTTCACTTGGCCTGTGTTTTCCCATCCAAGATGTGGTTCTCCTAGCCTCCCAGCAAAATCCACTGTTTAAGCCAAGCCTGGCTTCATGAGGGCACTGCTTTGGGAGGTTCAGAGGTCATTTTGGGGTGTCTCTCTCTCGAGAAAGGCCACCCCGGGTTCAGGGCCCAAAAGTCTGGTTACAGCCTCCAATTGGTTTTGGAGAATGCATGCTTTCCGATGCAAGTCTTCCAAGTCCAATTCCACCATCTCCTCCTCAAATCCTTTAAGCTGTGAGAAGAATTGCTCCCCCTGCAATTGGTCCTATATTATCTGACCTAGCACACAGCTCAATAATGGCTTCATTGGCTGAAAGAGTTAGTACTGGGACGTTCATGCCTCTACTGGTCCTGCTGCCATTGAAGGGGCTTGAAAGCCTTAAGTTCAAACGCTACAAGGAGATGTCCTGGTGCAGCCCCCCCCCCCATTCCGCAAAGCTGTCATGGGAACTGGACAGGCCTTGCTGCACTCCTGGGCTCCAGCTAAAAAAATGCCAAGATCAAGTAGAAAGGCTGCTGTGGGTCCTCTCTGATTTGATTTTGGGGACAGCCATTGCCGCTACTTCAACTTAAGCCAAACATTTCCCAGCTTCTGCCAAAGGTCAACTGAAATGGACATTCTTCTGGGAACTTGCTATAGCCCCTCTCCTTGAGTAGTGTCTTTCCTGGCTTAAGCAGAGGGACTACATTGGCCGTCCACAGAACTGGCTTGCTGTGCTGAAAAGTACTTGGTGGAGGGTAGAGATAGAAGCAAAAGGAGGTAAAAGAATATCATGGTGGCTTCTATCCCATCCTACCACTCCCACAAGCAAAGTTTGTTTGTTTATTTAAATCTTTATGACCCCACCTTTCCTTTTGGCTCTAGTTTGAAGCCTTCCTGCAATCTAAGGACCCTTCCGCCAAATAAAGTGGATCTTCCATTGGAAGAAAAGCCATTTAAGTAAGAGGGACTCCGCTTGGGTTGGAAGAAGGCTACTTGGAGGATGGCTAGATCCAACAGGTGCCTGCTCTTCACCCATTTGAGAAATGTTGTGTGCATCCCCCCATTTTTGCCTCTGCAAATACCAGATATGCACCATAATACCTGGAGCAAACATGACTGTCAATTAATGTGTGAATCCCTGGAAGAATTTAAGTACATGGAGATTTCATTCTGCAATTCTTTTTTCAACAATTTTTCTGTATATTGTGTATTAACAATACATTCCTATTTGGAGGCGGTGGGAATTGTGCTGTACTTTTCTTGAGGCTGTCAGAGTCTTGATACTGAGTCTCAGCAGAATATGTCATTGGAGAGAACTTTTGATAGAAAGAAGTTTTTGTAATACAAAACACTATCTTACAACTTCTACTGCTATGACAAAAGGACCAGGATAGTATATTCCAGGAATCTCAGAACGTCAGGACAGCAAGATTAAAATCTCTTCCCAAATGTAATAAAAACGAATTAAAATTCTCCCCATTTAAACCAAACATGGAAACTGAAAAATGAACCATTGATCAGCACAGCTGGCACGCTGTATTCCTTTCATTGACATTTCTTACCTTTTAATTGAAAATATATGCAGTTTTTCATTATAATTAATTATAGTTTTTTAAATACCTTTCCAAAACAATTTCCATAAATGCATAAAAATTTAATAGCATTACCATTGATGTCATTGCTTCCATCTTTCAGAAGAAATGAGTTTAAGCCAAGATCATGTGATTCCTTCAGAAGCCTCTCTGCTGAGTCACCAGCATTCCAATCACACACGTGAATTTTAAAACTGCAGGGGTCCTGAACTGAATTAGAAAAACAATGTTCTAATCTCTTTTGATGTTAACAGTTGTGAAACTACATTCACACACAGAATAACTCCTATCACTGTTCCCTCTGAGTTAGTGTGAGCTAGCTTAGAGTTTTTTAGCCTCCAGCTCACACATTTTTTCCTTAGCTCAGGAAGGATGGCTCCAAAGCAAACTAATTTATGCAGTAGCCAAATCGTTCGCTCACAACTTTAATACCAGTAGCTCACTAAGTAGAACCTTTGCTCACAAGACTCCACAGCTTAGAGGGAGTATTGACTCCTATGTATTCCGCCAACTCCCTCCCCTTTCCTGGAGTTCCTCCTCCCCCAACTTCCATTCCCCTATTAAACTCCCCCCCCCCAGAGCAACAAGTTTCTACACTTCAGGAGCTGCATCAAGAAAGGAAAATTCACAATTACTATCCTTAATGGTTTAAGAGCATGGTCATGTCATCGAAAGTGTGTGACTGGATGTATTTTATATAATATAATAAATAGAATATTTTATAAAAGAGAGATTAATAGAAAAAGGAATTCTAATTGTACTTCTACAAAAGTCATAAAATAATTTTAATAAAATGCCATGCTGGCTAGACCTTACAGCAGAAGCTTCCATTTGTGGCGCTGGAGGAGATGCTCGATGCATTATGGCAGTGTTCTCCCTCTGGAATGCAGGTCTCATTATGAGCATAGCGCTGCTCCTCACACAGTAAAGCTTCATAGGCTTAAAGAAAGATTAAAGAATATAAAAGTGAAAATGGCTTGGTTATATAGTAAATTCACTTCTTCTTTTTTTTTAAAGTCTGCTTTGTGACACTGACCATAGTTGAAGTAGGGAACATTTGTGATAATTACTGTGGTTAATGGGCAAAAACGGTCACACAAGTAGGCAACAGCTGCTCCTTGCCTGCCTCTCCTAAGACATTACATGCAGCTACATGTATCTTTCCTCCACCTTTTTTTCTTTTAACAAAAAAGCAGGCTTCGAAGGCTGCAAGGAATGCTGGGGTGGAGGGGAGAGGGTTTCTTAGCTACTTCCCTTCTGGCCTTTATTTCATGCAAAACCTCCTGGAGGCTTACTCCCCCTCCCCCCCCCCTCCCCCCCCCCCCCCCGTGGGTAGGAAAGCAGAAGGGGAAATAATTAGAACATAAAAACAGTCCAAGGCAGAAGGCATCAGCAGCCCACTTCCCGAACCATTTCTCCACTCAACCCGCTAGCCTCCTGAGAGACAAGACTGATTTTCGTTTTTAAAAAGTCAGTGGAAAGAAAAAGCACAAGTGCAGGTTTAATCAGGCTGTAGGCATATTAAAAGGGTCATCAGGAGAGAGTATATCTGAGAAGGAAAGCCGAGTTCCTCTAGGATGTTTCAGCAGCTCCACTTCTGAAGCCTCTGGCTCCAGTTTCATCACAGATTAATGACATGTTGCAGAGAAGAAGCCTTAGACCATTACTTTAAGAACACTGAAACACAGGGCTCCACTTTCGAGAACCTGTTTCCATCTCCCAGCGGATAGAAGTCGTAATCCCCTTTTCTACCTAATATCTTGTAAGAACATCAGTCTTTACATTTGTTCTAGAATCACTCTTCTGTTTTCCAAAGGCAGTGTGCAGCATATGGATTCTCAGGGCTGCAAAGTGGGAGAAGAGAGAGGGTCAGAATGGATTTCCTGCATTCTAGCAGGACCACCAAGGTACACATGAAATTTTTATAATTGTCCACTGCCCTCCATCAGAGCTACTGAAATGTCTGGAGATAAATGCTGTGTGTGCATCTTAGGCTACCCTAGAACACTGGTGCAAAGGCATAAGATAGGTTGAAGGGACGATTCCCCTTTCCCTCCTTTACAGTGTAAAGAAATGAACATTGTGTAGACAAGGGTATTTTTGACAGATGATTTGCTCATGTGCTTATACACATGAATGCATAAAACAAGGAGTGGGGGGGTGATACTACCCTTTCAGATGCAGAGCACATCACCATCAGTCTGAAGTGGGGGGAAGAAGTATCTCAGTGGCGAGACGTTTCCTCTCCCCCGTCCCCTCAGTTTTTCATAGCAGAGAATTTATTTTTAAACATTTGGGTTATGCACATGGGCACAAAAAGCATGCAGTATGAAAAAAACCAAAATAAATTGACACACACACACACCCCGTGTAAAAGAGGGATGAATTGACCTTGAACAACACCTGCTGTCTGACATTTTCTTCTTTCACCCCAAGGATCCCTTAAACTGCAAATGTGACTGACCCTCTCGGCCTCTTTCAGGCTCAACTGAAGCAGCATTATTTGACAAAGTGGAAGAAGTTCTCTGACCAAAGTGCAATGCGAAAGAAAATAATGTTCTCTTTATTGAAATGTGCAACATTCTACTTCAGATCTCCCTCCCCTCCCCGTTTTCCCAAATTTCAGGACACTGAAAAATTGCCTTTATGTTTCAACCATTTCCTATACTTGGATTGGATCCAAAGAACTTTGAGGAAATCAAGGCTTTCCCCATTTGCAGCTCTCTCTGTTTCCAGAAAAACCACTCCTGCTGGTTAGAGTGTTCTGGGGACCAGCTTGGAATGTAGTATAGGGGAGACATCTCCCTGCCCCCTTTTGCAAAAACAAAACTGCCTTTCACTTACGACTGCTCTCTTTTGGTTCAAACCTAAGACATTCATGTGTCAAGGGTCTGAAGGACTTCCGGGTTGTTTATTAGCTGCAGCACGTCAACTTGTGGCAACAAAATGGTTAGAAAAGAAACCTCCTAACCTAGAACAATGGTATAACAAAATATGGGAAATGTTTGTAATGTATAAATTAACAATAAAAATGTCTAATGCTTCTCCTGAAAAATATCATTAAAAAGTAGTTGTAGTTTGGTACCCAGTTGTAAGTTATTTGTTGAGCAAAGATATTATTCCTGAAGGACTTCAGGGCTTCCTGACTCCAAGGGGGTTCAAGGAGCCTCTCTCAGTGTCCACTCACTATCAATGCACACAATGCCTTTAAAATGACTCTGCTGGCCACTGGGTTAATGGTGAATGTCCTTCTAACAGCCTGTCACTTAGGGTTGCCATTTACCAGGTGGAGACAGGATTCTACCCATCCCACCTCCTGTTGCCTATCCTCTCTCTAGCAAGTGATGTGAGAAGAATTCAGGGCTAGAATGGCATCCCCCAGTGTCATAACATTGTCTCCAGCCATGTAACCAGGAATTATGTCACTGTGTTGCTGGCCGCTCTAGCATTCACTCAAAACTCTGTGGTGCAAGAACCGCGGGTGACACAGTGATAATGCTCCCAGTTATGTGGCTGGAAATTATGTTGTGACCTCAGGAGATGCCATTCTAGTGAATCTCTACCTCTCAAGGTTTCCTGGAAGTTGCTGCCCCTACTGGTGCCTGACAATGAGCTGGGAGGCAGCCTTGAGTCCGGGGTCGGGAGGGCAAGAGGGGCTGATATGTGAGGGCAATGGGAGCTTCCTGCAGAAACTGCTCAGTTCTCATAGAAGAGACAGAAGGGCATAGCCAGTGAAGAGGCTGGCCTCAGGGAGGGCCTGGCCTTTCATAAGGCAAAGGGAAATGAGCCAAGGGGGACATGGCAGCTCTTGCTTTTCAGGCTGAAGGCAGCAGCAGGACGAGGAGGAAGGCAGAGGACAAGGGTAAATGAGGCCTGTGGGACAGTATGCAGAGCTCCCTGCTAGCATAGATCTGCCAGACTCAGACAGGTCTTTTGCATCATGATTTTGCATGAAACTCTGAGCTACACCATACACTTGCTTGCAACCTCACGGAGAAAAGGCAGCCTGAGATGGCACTTTTTGAGTGGGAAGATAGCCAAGAGAGAAAGGTTAAGTACTGCCTTCTTTCTTCTCAAAACAGCACCCTTCTGTGTCCGGATTTAAATAATTAAAAAGTCCTTCATGACATGCATTCTCATGTCCTGTGCAGTTTGCTCCTTCAATGCAAATATTTGTCCAAAAAGAAACAAACAAACAGAATTGCCCTTCACCTTTCTCCTGCCAGTTTTACAAGCTCCTTGACAAGGCTTATTGTACGACTACAAATTAATTCGGGCAACTGGTTAAGCCAGGATGAATCATTATCTCTATTTTTTTAAAAAAAAAAAACACCCAGAACTTGGATTTATATGTAAATCCCTTGGAATGAAAAATCCTTTGGAAATAAATCAGCATTAGAAATGGAGTGATTATGATGGATCTATAACAATTGTATTTGTACAATGTGAACAGGCTTCTTGTAAACCAGTTAGAGCAGCTGCAAACCTTTTACCCTTCTGGGCTCTACAATTAAGCACTGCCAGGCCATGGGGTAATATTAAGTTCCCTCTTCTCTAAGGCATTACGACCAAGTCTAATTTCACTGTTCTGAAAGAATCAATGTGTCATTTGCCAGCTTTAAGTACACATGGAAAAGATGAACTTACTGTGCATGCCAAGCATATCAATCTACAACCTATAGAGAAGATTCAAAAGGTAGAGAGGTCAGTCTGATAGAAAAGTTAATAAGAACCGTGCTTAATTGCTTCCTTCTGCATAGCTGCAAGATGGACGTGCCTTGGAAAGAAAGATGCAGCTGGTTTATGTAGATCAATGCTTGAAAGAAGTTCCATAATTCCAGTTTTAATGACAAAATGTGCATGCTTGATGAAGGAGATCCTTTAGCAGCTGAGGTACAGCTCAGTGTTCTTGAGCACTGGCAACAATGGAGGGGAATAATCCTTCCCTGAATTTGTCTGACCAGTTTGACGAAGCTCTCTCCTTTGCTTCCCTGAGCATAGATGTTTTCCTGGGCTTTATCCCGTGACAAGGCCAGCATCAAAGGTTGGTATAGTTAGACATCTGTCAAGGCCCATGACTGAAACACCCAACCAGAGTTGAGCAGCCTCTTCACACCCACCAGGAATAAGAGACTACACAAAAGGATCCTGCAGTGGCTTGGAGCAGTCTCATATTTCTTCTTTGGGAGAGGTGCCTGAAGGCAGTTACATAAGAGAGTCATGTTCCATTGCCTCCATGAGCCTCTCTTACCATAAACCAGAGGGACATCTGGGTCACTTTGTGTGGGAGGGGGTCCTGGGAAGGCAGTGTAGCACAGGTCTCTTGCACATTTTGAAGCCCTGTCTGTACTGATGGGGGTTAAGGGAGCATGACAAGGCTGCATTCTACTGCCTCCTCAAAGTACTCTGCCATTAGGAAGAGGGAGGTCATCATTGAGGCCTCTGAATTAGTAAGGCAGCCAGAAATTGCAGGTGAATGGATTGGTGGTAAAGAAGAAATTATTGGCTTTAGGTTTAAGTTTATCATGGAGATAAGGATAAAGCAGAGAAGATGGAAGAAGAAAACATAAAAGCACAAATAAGAAAGTTGTATGTAGAAGACTGGGAAAGAATGGGGTCCACTAGAGTGGCATGAAGCTAGGGTATAGAAAATTGCCATGCCAAAGTATCAAGATAGGAAAGAGCTAGATCAATTATCTGTAGAGAAGCTAATTAAGCTGAGCAGGCCCAGAAGAGAATATTAAGGACCCCTGACAAAGAATAGCAGCTGGAGTGGGAAATGGATTTATTTAAGAGGAGTCCAGCATCAACACAAGTCATGTCTTCTGGCTAGGATACTCTATAATACTTCCATAGATCTGCTATTTGAAGCCAGTTCACACAAATGTCTATCATCTGTTGTGCACAAATAGGTCTTTCAGATCATTCAGTGTCAATCC